CCTGCTAGATTTAGCGACTTTATGCTAGCTAATTTCATTGGAAAAGACCTTGCAATATTGGCCTGGTTTTTTCAATAAATGAATTTAAGAAAATCAAGCTTTCTCAAGCAGGCTTCTCCAATTTGTCCTACCCAAGCTTTAATATACTTTTGCTATGTAAAGATTAGTGGAGTAATGTAGCCTATACCTGGCCATGCATGCGAGGTCATGAGAGTGCTTTGTGTGGCTAGCTAAGGCCTGCCACTTTGCACTGCCCTCATATAGCGGTAACCACGACAACGTAGTCCCAACAGCTTCTTCTCAAAAGCATAACATCAATCTTACGATTCCCCCAAAGGCTAACAGTGTTAGCTTTGTCTACTTGTGCCATTGTTAGCTGCTAGCTACGGTCTCAGCTATGTCTGTTCTGAGGGCCATGTCAAGGCTTTTTCTGGATTAAAGATAAAGTTTGGAGTATTGGCTTGAAATTAATTTAATGTTGTTCAGTGCTATACACCACATGCACAAAGGCCTGGAGTTAATTTTCTATTATTGACATTTCATTTATTTTTTAAAGATTTGCAACAATTTAATGAAGATCGCAGGACATTTATAAGAGGCTTTCCAAAACAAAAAAATATTTGACGACATTCTGATCTGGCCTGCTGGTAGGTTACATTTTGAAAATCGTCCAGGTACACTACAATATTTAACGTTGGATATAAATTGGAGGTTTTCACCAGACAGCAACAAGCTATAAAGCATGTATAACTTCCTGTCTGCAGCTGTGTTCAGGCTGCATGTAATGTATATGATTTTTCACACCCCCACCGGCAGTCTTTCATCAGTGCTGCTGTTTGAAACCCAGTCCAGCCATCAAGTTTCACCATTCATACTGGCAGGCTGCCAAGATCAGTAAAAACCTGAAAGAGGGGGCGGAGTAGGACAGGGGGTGTAACACACCAACTCTTCCCCACCCCCCACTAATGTCTTTGAGGAGTAGTAAAGCCTCTTCAACTCCGAAGACTCTTATTACAGAGCCGCAGACTGAAGGTTGCCAAATGCACAAACACATGCACAGAAAGAGAGAGCATACGTGCATGAATGTGATGATCGCTGTAAACACTTGGCTATCTGTTCCTCTGTAACCACAAGGAGGACTAAACAGTGAGGCGTGCTCAGTAAAGATGGAACTATAGGGAGGGATGAGGAAAATGTGTCTACAAGCCAAGACAAGCACAGAGTCCCGGGAGCACTTAACTAATCATTATATATATATATACACACTACAGGTACAGTATAGAGGAGACACTCACTGCTGGCGGAAACATTTGCTATAAAAGTTATGACCTGAGAGACTTAAAACAATGCATTACCAATCCTATATGCATTTATAATCATTTCCAACCCTTGTCTTACTGCATGGACTCTCATAAAATGCTACAGCTAGACCTGACATGTACATTCCCCTTCAAAACTACCATGAAATTCCACTTCATGGTGTCCTTGCTGAGAACAAAGAAAGAATGTCATAATAAAAAAGATTTAACTTTGCAGTAAAACCTCTTGAGATTGTTGGTAGGCTACTCATTTTTGCCTCAGCGTCTGATCCCGACAGTGTGTTGGGCTGTCCTCAGAGTTTCCCACTCACAACAGGATATCTGAGTGTAGATATTGAACAGGTTAAATATTTAAAATCTGTGTAGCCAGGGTAGACTCACACTAGAGAAATACTTGGCTAAATCTTCTCTAAAACCATAAAAAAATATGTACATACACAGACCTGTTGCCTTAAATACTCGCTGCAGAACTGAAAGACTTTACTTAAAAAAAAAGTCCCCAAAAAATACATAATTTTATCGAGTTCGTTTGATAAACCTACAGTGATCAGGGATTTTTTTGTGAAACCATGTATAAGTGATAGATTTATGTGTTCAGTGTGAACTAATGGACTTGGAACGCCACAGGGCTGGGACAATGTTTTTAGTTTTATGAGATTTATGATAAATTATGCCATCTTCTTTGTTAAAGATATGGTTTAATATGAACACATTTAACTTCATGGCAAGCTGCAAAAACGTAATAAATCTAGTCCTCTCTGTAACCTTATAATTATCCCAAACAAATGTGTTTTTAAGGAGACGAGACCACTGGACAACCGGAGTGACAAACATCCTCTAACCACACTCTGCTGAGTGCTGCTGCCTGTCTGATGTAGATTTATGGTGCTGCAGGCTCATGTTGTCTGCAAGTCTTCATGTGTTGGTTAGTAAGTCCTTCCTTTGGCTTCAGATGACTGCAACATCCCATCCTGTGTACTGGTGAGTGATCTGATACAGCATAATATTTACCCTGGCGACATGACCCCATGTTGTCCAAAACAAGCCGAGCAGTAACGGATACTGACAGTGGAGATCACAGAGTAACTGCTGACATCCCCGCAGCTCTGGGTGCAGAATGAAATGTTGTCCTGCTCCCTCTGTTATGTCTGCACCGCTCCAGATGATAGTTCAAGGTTGCGTGTTGAAGTTGTAGCATGGCTGAGATTAATCTCCGCCTTTGTGACAGGACTAGGTGGAGGTGGTGGTCTGAGTTCACAGAAAGGCCATGTGGTTGCCTCATCCCTGCCGAGTTACCCATAATACTGTGCTAGGAGCCATGTAGGAAACTGGAGATGACCTGCTTCATACATCAAGATGTGCTTGAACTGTTGAACAAAACCTGCTAAAAGGGGACGTGCTATTTCAAACGTAAAGCTCAAAACAAAAGTGATGCATGATGGGTAGAGTTACCAAAAAGAGGACATTTTAAGACGCTCTTTTGTAAAAAGGAAGGCTGGTATGGAGTGATTAACATAGAAAGGTGTCTTGACATGTAGATGAGGTTTATCTCTTTAAAGCTGTCACCGTGTAGGAGGTGAGGAGAGTGTGACGGGATGTGGGGAGCAGAGCAGAAGCCATAAAGATAAAGAGACAAAACGCCTGAGATGTGTGAAACTTCAAAGTCACACTCACAGAACCTTCACTGAAGCTGTAAAAGCCCTAACACATGTGTATAGGCACTAAGGTGCTGTAGGTATACTACACTATTATTATTATGTGATAGGAGACCAAAACTTAGGTCACAGTTAACTATTTGGACTCACGCTCCTACAAAATGACATTCCTATACAACTAAACTGCATCCTCAATTATATTTCGAAGATAATGCATTTCCTCACAGATTACTGTTGCAATTTCAAACGTTAATGTTTTATATTAAAAGAAAAACAACTATTGGTTTGGTTGAGAACAAATATCATTGCTTAACCTGAAATAGGTAGGCTACTTACATGATTTAAAGGTCACCTATTATGCAAAATGCACTTTTTGATGTCTTTTATACATTATGTGTCCCAGGTGTGTAAGGAGACTCACAAAGTGTCAGAAAATACAACCCACTCTCTTTTCCTCCTTACCCACATCTCTAAAAGCGGAGGTACAACGAAGCTGATCCAGATTTGCTGCGGTCATGACGGCATTACTCAAATGTGAGCTGGCTTTACACCCACGGCCCTATCAGAAACGTCGCTATCAGAAACAATGCGCGACGTGTTTTGGAAGTAATATGGTCTTTGTTTACATTAGCAAGCATCGCTAACACTCAGAGCTAACGCTGTACTGGAGAGAGAATGTGTAAAAAAAGCAGGATATAAAAAGGTAGGCCTACTCACCCACCTTGTGGTAAACCCGCGTGACAAAAGGCATTTGAGCTCCATACTGTTTCAGAAATAATCCTTTGGAAAATAGCTCGAAATAAGGTCTGTGGAAAATGAACCTGTTTGATAAATGCACGTTTTGTTCAGCCACATGTCTACCCTACTTTTATAATTTTCGAATCATAAATCTAATCGCCAGAAGCAAAATGCTAACGTTATGCTATAAACGAACTACAGCAGAGTCGCACGACTTCAACGTCACGCCAACTTAAGATCGATATTCAAAAATACAGATTCAAAATTGTACAAGTTGAAGCGTTTGTTTTAACAGTTTGCAGGAGGCAGGTACTTGCTTTCAAGCTGAACAGGGAAAACAAACTTAGCAGGAGTGTTTACATGTTTGGCGTACAACGTCCTCGACAACTTCTGCAGTCCTATTCAGCCACTTGTTTACAACCATCGTTTTTCAGGCACGTAAACTCTTCAAAAATCACCAGTGGGGTCACTGCTGATAAAACGTGATCCATCTCTTAAATTTGTGTCAACCACAGACCTTATTTCGAGCTATTTTCCAAAATCCTATGGAGAAATCCCATTGACTCTGAGACGAGGGAACCGGTAGTGGTAAAATGCTTCCGGGTTTTAGAACTCGTCACTGCACAACTCTGTATAGAGAGATGAGGCATGGCTCGAATGGGTGATGTTTGGTATTTTGAGCAAAACACTTCATAGACATGTTTTTTTATATATCTGTGACCTATAATATATGCCTAAAAATAGTATAATGGGAGACCTTTAAGTCACAGTTGTGAACAGAAAAATGTCAACATCTCTCGTTAATCCAGCCATGGAGGCACAGTTCTGAGCAGCTGTTCAGTTGTAACTGCCCTATAGGAATATGATGACATGAATGGTATCATACTAGTATATTCAAATAGGTGATACATCAACGTTTAGACCTGTGTTCAATTCAACTAAGATACGCAGACTGTGAAGGGCAACAACACACCATTTTGAATCCCGAATATTAAGGAATATTTAGATTATTAATGGATTTACCATTCTATACTAAGGAAGAGGATTAGAAAATTATTTGAAATCTGACCAAAAGTTGTCTTTTGTTCGGAGCAAAAAGTCAGAATTTAGACTTTAATCTCTTCACTTTCATGATGTCGAAGTTGTGTCACCTTTAACTTTGGAGTAGCTGCTGGGCTGTGATTGGAGGAGGGCGTGTTCACTGCAAGAATACAATGCTCAGGTGGAGAGAAAGAGAGGGAAAGAGAGAGAGAAAGAGAGTGAGAGACACACACACACACACACACACACACACACACACACACACACACACACACACACACACACACACACACAGAGAAAAGCACTGCGCTCACACAGCCAGTGACGGTGGACTGGTGGAGCACTGCTGTTGTCTCTCTGCGCTCTTTATCTGGCTTTTTCCGCCACACATTGGACCTGGTTGGACTGAGAGGAAGAAGCAGCCGCTGGAGCTAACTGCGGAGAAAGTAGTCCGGTGCAGGACTGGGCAAAACTGAGATCACCTGCTGGGGCGTAAAGGCGACACACTCTCCAAGGACACAATTAATGGAATAACGTGCAGTACCCATGTGAATAAAAACTTTCTTAAAGAAGAAACAGGAACTTAGTGCCAGAGAAAACGTAAGTGCACCTTCAGCAGAAGATGCGCAATACCTTTTGTTCTGCGTGTCCCGAAAGACAAAACTGATCTGATGTGTTTTGGGAACTAACAGCTGTTTGGATGGACAAGCTTTGCAGCTGAAGAAACAAAGTTATTTTAAAGTTTCTCTTTGAAAAAAAAAGCAAAAGCGTAATAATCTCCAGGAGACAGTGGGATATGGATGGTGTTGCTTCTGAAATCCGTGAGTCGCAGCCTGCAGCTGGGATGCACAGCGCATCTGAGCCGCGACGTTTCACACCATAATGCGGCATCAAAACTGCACCTGACAACGAATGTCACAGACCTTAAACCACTCCAAACGGATCTAATATGTCCTCACTATTGAAGAGGTAAGACACTGTAGGCTAGTTGTTGGCTGCCTGCACAAAGGATCGCATGAGATGTGAGTGAGGGTGATTTATAAGAGAGGAGTTCAGCTTTGATGGGAGGTGATAAATTCCAGAGACACGTTGATTTTTCCTTTTTTCTTACTGGAGACTGTTTGTACTGTGAGTTGCATTTTAGGGGGGAAATATGTGGTGGCTTTAAATATTTACTTTGAGTTTTTTTCTTGCAAGGAGCTGCAAAGCCTTGAACATTTTGTTGCAGTACAGTGCAGGATTGGAGGTGATACATTCCAGGGACAGATGAGGTTTTTTCCAGATTGGAAGCAGTTTGTTTTATAGTTAATTTAATCTAAAGAACTGCAGGCCTGTGGTGGGTTGTAAAAAGTTAGAGTGACATTTGTAACATGTCATATTGGGCTGCCCCTCTTGATTAATCGACTAATTGGTTGTTTTGGTCGTTAAGTCGTTCTGTCTTGTTTCAAATCACTTCCAAGAAGAGCTTTGATTACCACAAGATTTAAGTGGTTGCTTTTGCTTCATTCTTTGTGGAGAAACTCAGTTTTACCAGTCTCTGAATGAATCAAGCAATCCTTAAATTGATAACATTGTGTGAGTGTTTGTTGACAAATAATTTATTTTGTTGAAGACAGCCCTATATGCATTATTTGACTCCAAACTTGACTTGGAACAGTTTGGATAATCCTCTGGTGGCCTGTGGTGTGTGAAGGTTTCTCTGGGGGCAGAAGTCATATCCATTCTGCTGTGAGCTGCTTCCTGCCAGCGGGTGAGGTAATCCTCCTGCCATACAGTATCTGTGATATTACGACTCCTGGCTCTACATTCCACCCATCCTGCGCCCACTACCTTTATCTCCCAAATGTCACCAGCTATAAATACCCTGCTCATATTTGATCTAATCCCATCCCTGCTACAGAACACAAACATGGGGGGACTGCAGAAGGTCTGGATCCGTATTTAAACGGAAGTTTTAAAAAATATGTTAAAACCCTAAATTCACCCTGACCATGTGTTTACCTCTATCTTGTGGATTACTCCTCTTAACGGAAACAATACAAGCTGACATTCCTGTACTCTACACCTAAGATGTAAAAGTGTGATATTCCTTCTTATGGGCTGCAGCTGCATGTGTTGGAATACATATGTACGCTGTCTGTCAGCCTGACTGGTCTGCAGAACAGACGATGGCAAGACAAAGATTTGGCTTTTCTGTCTCTGATAACACTTTGGAGGAACGTTTATTTAGGAAGAGCCCATCAGCCCCTGAGCTGATTTAATCAGTTTACCATTGAACACTGAGTAAATAGCTTCAAAACGAGGACTCTACAGGCGCTTTTCCACTGCAGGACCTAGCACGGCTTAGCACATCTTAGTTTGGCCTTGGTAGGCCAGGCTCACTTTAAGCTGCGTTTCCATTACAGTTTAGTAACTGGGGTAGTTACTATAGTAACGCAGCCAGTGTAGGCAGGGCGATCGGCTGTTCGGCGGGCGGAGCGACGCTGTGTTTTTCATTTAATTTCAAACCTTTATTTATCCAGGTGCAGTGGCGGCTGGTGGAAAATATTTTAGGTGGGGCTGTGGAAATGGTGATCAAACAATACTAGGGGGGTCCGGGGGGATGCTCCCCCGGTAATTTTTTTTGAGAAAAGACCCCCTAAATTATGACTTCTGGTGATGTTAGAGGGGGGGGGGGAAGGACAATTTGAGGCTTAAAAATATGAGAAGACTGATCAATACCTCCATAACTTCAGTGTGGTTAGCTATGAATCTTCCAAAACTTCCAAACACCTTGTCCTGGACATAGTTTCTACAGCATAAACTGTGCAATAGTACAGTAGGCCCACACAAACTGCAGAACACCGGGGCTTTGGGAACACTCAAAATTACTTAAAATGATTTAATTCCCATTTAACCTGTTAAGGGGCTTTTTTCCCCCGTTTTTTTTCTCACGAAACTGTGTCTCAGGGCTTCTTAAAATGTAATAAACTATTCATGTGTCCTACTCAGAGGAAACGCAGCTAACTGATGATATGAACCATGTTTACCGAAACAAAACACAAGTCTCACAAGAAGCGTCTAAATGAGCCCTGAGCGAAGAAATGCTCTGGGTATAAATCAATCGATATACTTATCGGATATGCACAAACAAATATAAGTATCATCACTGAGCGATCAGAACTTGCGACAGGGGAAGCAAATACAGACATCACACGACGTAGCTTTAGGTAGCAAAACACGGAGATATGCTCACCTTTTGCAGAATAACAATTCTGATCAAAAACGAGAAAAATGCAGCTGAAGGTTAATCCATAGGTTAATCCAATGTGTCTGTCACTTTGAAAAATTATTGATGATCCATAATTCAATTTTTATGTAAAAAACTGAGTTTTCATTAGCTGCTAATGGTAGCTTCCAGAGTGTATGACAGCTTCCTGTTTTGTCTCCTTGGATACGAGTCCAAACAACTCACAGACTGCACCGGGCGCTGACCTAGGAGCCCTGTGACCATCAGATTTGACGACGCTGATTGGCTGAAATTATGTTTCGGCGGCATAGTTTAAAGATAGCAACAGTTGGCTTCTGCTGCACTTGCTGCACTCTCGTCTGGGCTCTGTGCATAGCGCCCAGACGAGAGGGAGTAATGATACACGGGCAAGGCCAGGCAGGAAACATGTGACTTATCAGTAACTTTAGACATCGTAACACAATTTTAAACGAGATTTTATTGTAGATTATACATTTTACTGATACCAATTATATAATATTTACCTTGTTTATTAAAAATAAAAATAAAAATAAAAAATATATTTTTTAAATATATATATATAAAAAAAAAAATGTATGTGGGAAGAGGGGGGGCGGCGCCCCTAGGGGCCGGCCGCCACTGTCCAGGTGTATCCCATTGAGATCATTGATCTCTTTTTCAAGGGAGACCTGCTCAAGTAGGTTCCACATGAAACATAAAAACATAAACAGAACAACAAAAAGGACATCATACAGCATCATTACAGGGATTACAATTTACATAACTATCCACATGAACAGGTACCAACAGTTTCCGATTGAGTAGCATCCAACCGAGCTTTAAAAACATTTAGTGGCACCAGATTGCTCAGTTTCCATTTCATTTGCAGACTGTTCCAAGACAGGAGCTGCGCATCTAAATGCTATCTTCCCTAAGACAGTCCTAGCAGTTGGCACATTTAATAAAACCACAGCATCCGATCTCAGGCAGTAGCCACTTACAATTCGCCGTGAGATCAGGGAGCAGATGTAGGATGGAAGTTTCCCTAACATGGCTTTGTATATAAAAATGTACCAGTGACTGAGCCTCCGTACAGTTAGTGAAGGCAGACCAGCCCTTGCATACAGGGTACAGTGATGGGTTAATGCTTTACAGTTTGTCACAAATCTCAGTGCACTGTGATACGCAGCAACTTGACCAGGCAATTGGCAGGTGCATTCATATAGACCAGATCACCATAGTCCAGCACAGGTAAAAAGGTCACAGTGACTAGCCTTTTCCTGGCCTCAAGCGAGAAACAGGACTTGTTCCTGTAGAAGAAACCTAGCCTAACCCTCAGTTTTTTAAGCAGGTTATTGACATGACGTTTAAAAGTGAGACAGTCATCAAGCCAGATACCAAGGTATTTGTAACAGGTAACCACTTCAAGTTTTATTCCTTGCGTAGTTACAGTGGCGTTTTTATATGTACAAAAGTGGTGGGGCACAAAAAACGTAGATGTCTATATATAAGCTTCTGCAGTGACGTGCAGTGAGGTTCATGGCTGGTGAGGCACTGGCACTGACTCTTCAGGTTTACAAATATTATATTTTGACCTAAACCAAAATATAATATTATTTTCAAAAGCTTTTTTTGTCTGATGCTTCGATTAATTTTAAACAGACAGTTCAACAAAAGGATACCCAAAAAATGTAATTTTATCATTTAAATATTGAATTGTTCTCTCTTAGTAAGATCCCATTTTCAATCAAATTGCGGTCTTACCTTGACTTGAAGATGAAGTCCATTTGCCTATCCTTCTGGACAAAAATGTCTATAACTTTTTTGTAAAAGTCCTCCTTATGTTCTTGTAGTTTCAAAAGTCTATCATAAATCTAATCCATAGATTTATGATAAAAAAATTATAAAAGTAGGGTAGACATGTGGATGTTATCCGGCTGATCAAAACGTGCATTTATCTAACAGGTACGTTTCCCACAGATCTTATTTCCAGCTATTTTCTAAAATCCTCTGGAGAAATCTCATTGCTTTTTTGTCGAGGGAAGCCATGCGCAGCTTACTTCCTGGTTTTAGGACGCGTCACTGCAGCTCTCTCGTCTCCTCTTCACACACCACACTTTTCGCGGCACACGTACTTACAGCCAATCAGCTCTGAATGATTTGAGATGACGTATGGTGGGGATGGTAGCTCCATGCCCCTCTGGTCATTATTTTTTTGCCACACACATTTCATTACAAAATACTCTGAGCATGTGCAGTGTAGTTTTTACAGTCACCGTTGACTTCACAGCGAGAGGGAGGGGCATAATCAGGTTTTGTCCCACATGGCTCTAAACAGCTCAATAGGCACACACTGTGACTGTAGACACACTAATTAGAAGAACACAGACTAAAACAGCAATGTACAGACGAATCAGATGATTAAACATGATCTTAAAATATATTTTATATATTTTTTTATTTATTTTTTTGCATTTTTGTAATCATTATTTGTAATACTTTCTGCTGACACTAGGTGGGGCTGTGCCCCACCTGCCCCTAATGACCAGTCGCCACTGCGTAGTTACAATATCTAAAACAGGCTCTGGTGTCTTTTTAGCTTTTGAAAAGAGCATTACCTTGGTTTTCTCAACATTTAAAAGAAGCTTAAGCTCAGCGAGCTGAGTCTGAATAATGTTAAAAACAGCTTGCAATTCAACAACAGCCTCCTTAATGGAGGGACCTGCACAGTACATAACGG